GCGGGCCAAATTTGGCCCGCGGGCCCCACTTTGGGCTCCTCTGATCTAGTGTGAGCAACGAAAGAATAATTAAATTTACTTATATAAATAAAGAAGGCTGGTTCTGTTCTGGGGACGACTCTGGAGATGATGGTGCAAAGAAGGATTTTACATGAAATCAAGAACATTGTGGACAACCCTGACCATCCTCTTCATCAGACTGTCATAGAAAGACAAAGTGTCTTCAGTCGGAGGCTTCTTCAACTTCACTGTAATACAGACGCTACAGAAGATCTTTCCTGCCCACAGCCATCAGCATCTACAATAAGTTTTTAATTAAATGACTTACAACAACACCTCATTTCCCTCTGGGATCAATAAAGTTTTTCTAAATTTGAATAATACTTAATACATTATTACAACATCAGGGGTTCAGTGCTGGAGCCAGACATTTTCTCAGGGGTGGCCAGACTGGGACCACTACTCACACAGGGGTGGCCARACTGGGACCACTACTCACACAGGGGTGGCCAGACTGGGACCACTACTCACACGGGGTGGCCAGACAACTTACATCATCGTTTACCTGGAAGTTTCTGCATTTTTTTGTGTTTTGGTCATTTCCTTATGTTCTTATACTGGGAGTGACTACCTTATGGTGTCAGAACCATTTTAAAAGTCGGGGGACACACTGTTGGGGGGTCTGGGGGTCCTCCCCCAGAAGATTTTGAATGAAATAGATGTGATTTCCTGCATTCTGGTGTATTTTACCGGGTTGTTTAACATACTTTTACCTACATAAATAAACACTTGATTTAATAATTATTTCAGAGACAAATTATTCATTAAACTAGTTCCATCATCGTGTTTTAAACTCACTGCTACAGCTGAGATAAGGTTAATTAATGTGATACAATATATCTAATGACTTTAGGGGTGCTTTTTACTTTTATATTGTTTGGTTTATTTTTAATTGCAATGCATCATTGTCCCAAATAATGATGACCTTCAACTGCATGTATAAAACTAATAATAATAACTTTACTGAGGTGAAATAACCACGTCTTCTGGTTCTGTGGAAACTGCTGTTGCTCAATGAAGAGAGAAACTCTGAAACAGGCTGGTTGAACAGCAAGAATCTTTATTTTGCAGTCCAGGAGATTACAGCCAAAAACCAAATTGTGGCTTCCAAGCCAAATGATTCACCAAGTAAGAAAGATGAAATACGAAGGCCAAGGGTGGGGGYGTACAAGGCTCTTTATAGGCTTCACAGATGTACCATAAATTTTGTCACAGTATACCTTAAGCATTCCTCTTCCTAATATGGTCATATGTGCCGAGCTCTGACGCTGGAAACTAAGAGACATCACATCTGTGCATTCCTGAGAAGAGGCCCTCCACTCTTGGACACTACATTACCCAATGAACAGGTGCTATTAAAGATCACCAACAGTGAATTTAGAGACGTGTTTCACTTTTTCTGATTTAGTGATTGGTCTACTCATAACCATAATGGACAGAGCGTCATGCAGCCTTCATAACATAAAATGACACTGAAACAACAAGTTTTTTATTGTTTTAGGTTTTGTGGGCTTCTGTGTAGGTTTTGCATTCATTTTTGGTTCTCAAAATGTTTTTTTGGCTACTCAGAAAAACAGCAATGAGGAAAAAAAATTCCTGTTTTTGCCGAGTTTAAAACCAAAATTCAACACGAACCTATAAACGCACGTTAAGCTTACGTTCTGCTAAACTTGTCGCGCCCTCTGCCTCTGGGCTTCCAGAGTCACGCCACAACAACCAGAGACCGGCCCCCCCCCTCCAAAATCCTTCCACCGCAGAGGGAGAGCAGGGAATTCCTTCCATTCCTCACAGCCACTGGTGTGCACATGAAAACATGTGTGTGTGTATACAAACACACACATGTTTTCAAACTGTTAAACACTGCCACCAACTGTTCAGGAGGATTATTACACCCCTAAATGTTGTTTCACTGTGGAAGAGGTGTGTACAGCAGGGTGGCCAAAGATTTGTCTGTGGTGGCCATGGCCNCCTAAATGTTGTTTCACTGTGGAAGAGGTGTGTACAGCAGGGTGGCCAAAGATTTGTCTGTGGTGGCCATGGCCACCCCTGGCCACCCCCTGCCTCCACCCCTGCAGGGGCTCCAGTTGCCCTTTAAATTTGGAAAAAGCCTGATTTCCAAAAACAAACTAATTTTGTCGAATTACAGATTAACACAAAGTAAAAAATAAATAACAGGGATACTACTCGTTTTAACTTTTTATTGAAAGATTCAAGAAAAAAAAACTTATTTTTCTACCTTTTAAACTGAGCAAAATAATAATAATAATTTTATGTTTTTGAGTGGAACATGAGATGACAGAGTCCTGTGGATTTATCAGTGTTGTGTTGGAGCAAACATCTAATGTTGTTTTCAGAGACCAGAGAAATAAACTCAGTGATTTTACAGTAATTTTAGTCGAGTTGAGGAGAGCTGCTCACTCTGCAGGTTTGGTTTTAACCTCCTGTTCTCCAGAAGAACAGCACCACTCCTCTCCTACCTGTGTTAACCTCTTCATCAGTATTCATCTGGAGAAGCTGAGTCAGCGTTAATGTTCCCGCAGGGCGGTTTGTTGTGCAGACAGCAGTGAAAACATATTTGCTGAATGAAAGCTGATTGGTTCAGACAACGTAAAGACATTTATCTTCTTCATGCATTAAACTGCAGCTGAGAAGAGTTCAGAAATATGAAGTCAGCTGATTTAAGGCTAATTAAAGAGACATTTCACCAGGTCCAACAATCAGAACAGTCCTCTGCTCCATACAGACATCTTGACCAGGTGGTTTTCAGTCTGACTGGCTGCTGTGGAGCCACTGGGACTTGTTGAGGCTCAGGTGCGAGACTGCAGAGTGAGCCGTTGGACCGTATCCAGCAGGTGAGCCATGCCGGGCTGCTGCGCCTGGTGTTTGATGTGCTCCAGAGTCTGGACCTGCAGGAGACAGGAAGTCAGAACACATCATCACTGGGTCCAGCTCAGCGGTCTTTGTGCTGCAGGGGGGGTTCCTAGAACTCACAGAGACCCGGGTCTCACAGTGTCCATGTTTGTGGCTGAGGTTCCACAGGTTGATGGTCAGCTGACTCAGCTTGTTGTTCCTCAGATCACCATGAGCCAGAACAGCAGCACACAGGGAGAAGGCCAGGGCACTCTGGCGCCGGACGCTCTGCTGCAGGAACCAGACAAGATGCTGAACTGGACCACTGAGTTCTGTGGTGTTCTCACCTCCTTACAGACATCTGGTGTTTGTCAAATTTAACATGTTTCACACAAACAAACATTTATATCAGACATGTTTTCAAATCATTTCATTTATTCAGGGACACGAGCGACTCAAACCAACCCTGCTCAGTGACAACAGGCCCTCCTTACGTTATCAAGCCACACTCAGACTGGACCAATAAGAAATCACTTGATGTGATCCACAAATGGAGACATTGGGCCACATGCAAGAACATGTTCGTATTCTTCTCCTAAATTTCTCTTACTTTTGTTCGTACAAAGGGTTCGTACGAACATGTCACGTCAGATTCAACAAACTCTTCTATCTTCAGGAAAAGTGCGTAAATGAGCTGTGTAATTTACACCTTTTCTATCCAGCTGCTCGAGATTAGCATAATTACCACCCCAAAAACACCATATAAGGCTGTGTTTCCTGCCTCAGATACAAGGAAGTGTTCATT